CTTTTATAGAGGTTCAGGAGTGGCCAGAACGGCCTGTTCTGAATCCGGAACGGCCCGTTCTGCACTCCCTCAACACGTACAAAAATCACATGTAGAACGGCCCGTTTTGAAATCAAAATGGCCCGTTCTGGGACTCATCCAAAACGGCCCGTTCTCCCTCCGGAACGGCCCGTTCTCCCTCCGGAACGGCCCATTTTGGGGTTTGAAATGGCCCGTTCTCCCTCCAGAACGGCCCGTTCTCAGCTACATTTTATAGGTCAATTCAGTAACTTGGAACGGCCCGTTCCAGTTTGGGAACGGCCCATTCTGGCTATTGAATCACCCATACTGGGCTTTTGGGCCTTCTGAAATAATTTGCTACGTTACAATACCCCCCAACAAATAGGAATTTTTGTCCCCGAAAATAGGCTTACCTGAAAAGAGGAATGAATACTGTTTCTTGAACTGACTCTCCACCTCCCAGGTAGCCTCACCAGTAGCTGCATCCCAAAGAATCTTCACCAAACTGATGGACTTGCCAGGAAGCTTCTTCAACTTGTGATCAACCACAGCTAACGGTCTCTTCTCATAGGTCAAGTTCTCTCTAACTTGCACCTCATTTATCTCTACCACTTGACTCGGGTCTCTGATGTACTTCCTCAACTGTGAAACGTGAAACACGTGCTCTCCCTCTTCAAACTCTAGAGGTCTCCTCCTCCTATCAGCTAGGACTTTTATCGACTCTGGGTAGCCCTCAACCTTTCCTAAATCTATCTCACCATCTCATTAGTCTAAAGAACTAACTCTAGACCAACCACTATAGACTCACCCTCCTGATACTAGCATAATGGAGTCCTACACCTCCTGTCATACAAAGCCTCAAAAGGCGCCATGCCGATGCTCTAGTGATAACTATTATTGTAGGTGAACTCTACCAATGGTAACACCTCCTCCCAGCTACCCAGATGATCCAACACACAGGCTCTCAAGATAGCCTCCAGTGACTGAATTATCCTCTCTGACTGTCCATCTGTCTATAGATGATAAGCGGAGCTCAACCTTAACCTCGTCCCCAAAGCCTGATACAGAGTCTGCCAACCTGGAAGTAAACCTTGGATCTCTATCATAGATAATACTGGAAGGCACTCCATGCAACCGTACTATCTCTCTAATATACAATTGTGCAAGCCTCTCCAAGGACCACCGCTTGACAGGAAGAAAGTGCACACACTTTATCAACCTATCAACAATCACCCAGATAGAGTCACTGTTCCTAGCTGTCCTAGGCAACCCAACCACAAAGTCCTTAGTGACACTATCACACTTTTACTCGGGAATCTCCATCAGCACTAAGCTCAAAACCAGCTGCCCTCTTGGTACCAAGCAATCCCAAAATCCTCAATAACTCTGGATCATGTAATTGCTTAGTTCCCACCTGTCTCAAGAACTCATTAGTTATGGTAATCATACCACAACTAATGTGATCTTGAACAACCTCCACCTTTAGTCTCAAATCTCTGAACTGCTTAATCAGCTCCAACTCCCTAATCATTATAGCCGACATATGAATGAATTTCTCCATACAAGAGTCAATCATATCAAAAGATTACATAATAAGAAAAAATAGCCCAAGAACAACAATCAAAACAATTCAGATTAATCTATCTTTATATAATTTCATCAATCACATACCTGGAGCTCCTGCAAGTGCCCCCCAACTGACACCAGGTGCAGCTGGAATAGGCGCTGGAACTGCATCAGTTCATGTTTGATCAATTACACCAGGCCATTGCCCATCAGCAGCAATAACACCAGCATTGAAGTCCGTGATGGCATAATCACCTGCTACAGCTTCCTCCTCTTTTTGTTGCTTCGCCTCCTCTGGTTCTCTATAGAAGAACAAGTCCACCTGCATCAACGAAAAAATTATGCCAAGGAATTCCAACATAACCATACCAAGATGTTAGCCCACCCCCAAACTAGCCCATCTTAAACAAAATGGCACCATACAAATTACTAACAAAGCACAGAACATCCTTCCAGCAATGGCATGAGCACCGGTGTACTGAGCAAATTTCAGAACCGCCCTCTGACCATAAGCCCTCGCCGATTGAACAATGATATCTTGAGGATTTTCAATTGCAACAATAACCCTAGCAGCAAGTTGAAGCTTCTCCCATGTCTTACCAAGGTTAATTAGGACGTTGTTGTAGGGTTCCACCATGACAGTTGAGACCTGAGGGGAAGGGTAAATGGTGAAGCCCATTTTGGATTTTTTACCGTAATCCACGGAGAGACGCTCGAGCAGGAGGGAGCCTAGGCCGGAGCCGGTGCCGCCACCCACGACGTTGAAGACGAGGAAGCCTTGGAGGCCGGTGCAGTTGTCGGCGAGCTTGCGGGCGCGATCGAGGCACAAATCTACGATCTCCTTGCCAACTGGAAATGGAAATTAGGGTTAGGGTTAGGTTATTGGAAAAAGAAAGGGAAATGTAGAGAGAGGGGGGAGGTTACTTATGTAGTGGCCTCGGGCGAAGTTATTGGCGGCATCTTCCTTGTCGGAGATGAGTTGCTCCGGGTGAAAGAGTTGGCGGTAGGTGCCAGCGCGGACCTCGTCGATGACGGTGGGTTCGAGATCGACGAAGACGACGCGTGGTCAATACGAGAGGGGGAGGGGGAGGGGGTTGGTTTTGTTTGGGGGGGGGGGTTTTGGGGGACGGGGTTTGTTTGGAGGGAGAAGGGGGTTGGGGGCGGAAGAGAGAAGATGAATTTCGGAGGTTGGGGGTAGTGTGCACCCTGCGCGAGAATACGAGGGACTCATTTCTACATCGGTCATAAGCAAAACCAATGTAGAACAACTCCCGGATTTCATATCTACATCGGTTATAAGCAAAATCGATGTAAATATGTTTATATTTTCTATTTATTTACAAGTTTGCCACCGCGTTTATGATTTACATCAGTTCTACTAGAACCAATGTAAATATGGCGATGTTAAACAGTGTTTTTGTAGTAGTGATATATAATTAATCATCTTGCATCCTTAGGAAAAGTATTTTCAAATGAAGATCTTATTAACAAAGTTTTGAGATGCTTAAGTAGGGAATGACAACTAAAAGTGACTGCTATTACAGAATCAAAAAATCTGTCTACCATGTATCTTGCATCTCTGTTTGGAAAACTTCAAGAGCGTCAAATGGAATTGATGAGACTAAGTCAAAATGAAGATTAAAGTGTAGCACTGAAAGCATCTTCATCCTCTCATGAAGAAAATGAAAAAGATGACAACATTGAAGATGATGATGATGATGATGATGATGAAGATTTCAGTCTCTTTGTAAAAAGATTCAACAAATTCCTAAGGAATAAAGGAAATAGAAGAAAATTCAACTTCAACATAAAGAAGAAAAGAGAAGAATCTTCTTCAACTTCAAGATGCTATGAATGCAATCAACTAGGTCATTTAAAATTAGAATGTCCATTCTACAAAAAGAAGATGACGAAGTCAAACAACAAAAACTTCCAAGGATAAGAACAACAAGAAAGTATATATCAATTGGGAATAAAATGACATGGACTCTACAAGTGATTTAGATAATGAAGTTGTGAATTTGGGACTAATGGTGAAAGACTATGATAGAGATGAAGAGGTAACTTCTTCAAATAATGATATCTCTATTACCTTTGATGAATTGCAAGATGCATTTAATGATTTACACAAGGGATCTTTAAAACTTGCAAAACTAGTATCATCCTATAAGAAAAAAATTTAAAATATGGAAAATGAAATTACTAAATTAAATGAAGAATTAGATAGTCTTAAATCAGAAGTTCAAATGTTAAATTCCATGAATGGAAATCATTGCTCTACAAGTAACTTGGAAATTACAAACATTACACATCCATGTACATCATGTCATGAATTTAAAGAAGAAATTAACAACTTAAGGAGTACCTTTTCAAAATTTACCATTGGTAGAAATAATTTAGATATACTTTTAGGAAAACAAAGATATGGATTTGACAAAGTAGGATTAGGATACAACCCACAAAAACAAAAAAAGAAGTACAAGAATTTCTTTACAAGTTCTCAAGTTTCTACCTCTCCTTTTATAACATGTTTTTATTGTGGTAAGAAAGGTCACCGTGTATCAACATGCTATGTTAGAAAGAACTTTAGCAATCTTAAGAATATGATTTGGATTCCAAAAGATTCTTTAGTTAAAACTAACATTAAGGACCCAAAGAAAACTTAGGTACCAAAATCAATCCATTATTTGTCTTGAAGGATTCCAAAGACCAAACTTGGTACATTGATAGTGGATGTTCCAAGCACATGATAGGAGATACTTCAAAATTCATTGACATTACTCCTAAGAAAAGTGGACATGTAACCTATGGAGACAACAACAAAGGAAAAATACATGGCATTGGAAAGATTGGTACAAATTTCTCAACCTCCATAGAAATTATCTTATGTATGAATGGTCTTAAACATAGTTTATCAAGTGTGAGTCAATTATGTGATAAAGGTTTCTCTGTATCTTTTGATTCACAAAAATGTCTTGTTGAACATAAAAATGATGAACATGTTAAAATAATAGGATTTAGAGTAAACTATATATACAATATAAAATTAGAGAAAAATATGAGTCATTCTCAATGTTTTGTGAGTAAAGATGATGAATCATGGTTATGACATAAAAGAATTGCTCTCATAAACATGGAACACTTAAATAAATTAATCTCAAAAGATTTAGATATAGTATTACCAAAAATTAAATTTGAGAAAAATAAACTATGTGATGCATGCCAAAAGGGAAAACAAGTAAAAGTCTCTTTTAAACCAAAGAATATAGTCACAACCTCTAGACTTTTAGAAAACTTGCATATGGACTTATTTGGACCTTCTAAAACTATGAAGTTTTGGAGGAAGTTACTATGGTCTTGTAAAAGTAGATGATTTCTCTAGATATTTCTTGGATACTCTCTAAATAACAAATCATTTAGAATATACATCAAAAGAACTATGACTATTAAGGAATCAATACATTTTGTATTTGATGAAACTAACCTTGTTTGTCCAAGAAAAGATATTATTGATGAAATTATAGAGAGCTTTGAAGATACTCATATTAATGAGCAAACGCACAAGGTCGAGAAAGATAAAGAAAAAGATGATTCAATAATCCAAGAAGATCAAACAAACATGAATCCTCAAAGAGAGTTAAGAATCCCAAGTAACCACCCCCTTGAAAATATCATGGGAGACATATCAAAAGGGATAACTAATAGACACTCTCTAAAAGAACCATGCAATAATATGGCTTTTGTTTCTAAAATAGAAGTTAAAAACATTGATGAAGCCTTAAATGATGAACATTGGATTAATGTTATGCAAGAAGAGTTAAATCAGTTTAAAAGAAATCAGGTATGGGAACTTGTTGATGGACCAAGTAATCATCCAATTATAGGAACAAAATGGATTTTTAAAAAATAAAGCTAGACTAGTTATTAAAGGATATAATCAAGAAAAAGGCATAGATTATGAAGAAACATATGCACCTATAGCTAGACTAGAAGCCATTAGAATGTTACTTGCCTATGCATCTATAATGGATTTCAAACTATATCAAATGGATGTCAAAAGTGCATTTCTAAATGGTTTTATTCAAGAAGAAGTATATGTTGAACAACCTTCTAGATTTGAAAACTCATAATTTCCAAACCATGTCTTTAAGTTGAAAAAGACTCTATATGGATTAAAACAAGCTCCTAGGGCATGGTATGAAAAGACTAAGTAAATTTCTTTTGGAAAAAGAATTTACAAGAGGAAAGGTTGATACAACATTATTTATCAAAAGAAAAATGAATGACATCCTTTTAGTACAAATCTATGTTGATGATATTATTTTTAGAGCTACTAATGACTACTTGTGCAAGGAATTTTCAAATGATATGCAAAGTCAATTTGAAGTGTCCATGATGGGAGAACTAAATTTTTCCTTGGACTACAAATAAGCCAAACCAAAATTGGAATTTTTATAAATCAAAGCAAATATTGTAAGAAATTTCACAAAAGATTTGGAATGGAAAATGCTAAACCAATGCCCACACCCATGAGCACTACTTGCTACTTGGACAAAGATGAAGGTGGTAAATCCATCCATTTAAAACAATACAGAGGTATTATCGGATCCCTTCTCTATTTATCTGTAAGTAGGCCTGACATCATGTTTAGCTTGGTTAACATTGGTTAATATTTTGGTTTGCTCTTTACCTTTGGATAATTTTATTATTATATTCTTTTTGATGTTGCCAAAGGGGAGAGAAAGGGTAAGGATCACAAAAGGAAAAAGATAAATAACATTTTTCTTAATACTCTACTTGGCTTTTAGATGTTGCCAAAGGGGGAGAGATTGATAACACTGCAAAGGAAAAGAAAATGTTTATTTTTGTCTAACATTACTTTGGGCTAAGTTTGACTAAAATATTTTGAAAAAAATATTCTTGATGCTCAACTTGACACTTATGTTTTATAATACAAACATTGATCTCTACAATCTTTTTCAAAACATAAGTACAATTCCTTTTATAAAAATAAAAGTAACATCAATCAATGTTTTACTAAGGGAGAGTTTAAGGGGGAGAGATTGGAATATACTATTTTATTTTCCTTCCCTTTACAGTAAATTGTCATCATCAAAAAAGGGGAGAATGTGGAAGAAAATATGCACAAATGTTTTGATGATGCCAAAGTGATATAAAGCATTGAAGAAGAATCAAGGTTGAGCTAAAGCAAGTTGATGCAAGAACAAGATCTCAAGTGTTATATAGATAAGTCTTGTCAACTTAGCTAAGTATGTAAAAGAATCTTTTAGAATTATAAGTATGCTTGGCCTTGAGAATAAGTTTTCAAAAATCTCAAATTAATCTCTTTAAATTTAAACAAGTTTTAAATCTTTTGAAAGTAAGTAAAAATGTTTTCAAAAGACTTAACAAAAGCTTTAAAGAATAGTTCAAATCATTTCTTAAAAGAGATTTGTGAAAGAAATTATTGAGATGAAGTTTTCTACATAAAAGTTTTTGAAACAATAAAAATATGTTTTGGTAATCCATTACCAGACCTTGTAATTGATTACTAGAACAAGGAAACTTCAAAGTTCAAATTTAGAATACAAAATGTGTTATGGTAATCTATTACCAGAAGAGAAAACTTCAAAAATTTGAATTTAAAAGATACAACGTTTCAAATTTTTTGAACTTAAAACTGTTGTAATCGATTACCAAGTCTTGTAATCGATTATCAAAGTATCTTTTCTGAAAAATTATAAAGAGTTACAACTCTTCATAAAAAGACATAACCTAAGAAATAATTATCTATAAATACTTATAATTTTTCAGAAATAGGTTACGAACTCTATTGTGAAAAAGTCATATACAAAAACATCTTGTCCAAATTCATTTGCATTATTCTAAAGAGTTTATTAAGATCAAAAAGGTGTAATATCTACTCTTAAAAAGAGTTATTCTGTAATTCCAAATTGATCATTGGATCTGTAAAGGAGAAAGGGTTTTTCTCCTAGTTGGTTTTTGAATCTCAACACAAGGAAAGGGAGTTTCAAGGTATTGGAGGATTCAAGTCTTATAAGGTTT